AGAGATCCGCCTGCCTCTGCCTCCCAAGTGCTGGGATTAAAGGCGTGCGCCACCACTGCCCGGTGAGACTGTCTTAAAAACAACATCCGCAAAGTATATTTAATATCTGATTATGGTTTCCCTTCCCCAACCAGTTGTGGTAATATACTTGTGCCCTAATAAAATTTACCTAAAATCAGAGAGACAAAGGAACATACCACTGCCACATCTCACCTCCAGAACTCCTCAGCCTGAAAAAGCTTCACACCTTATATACCTTTCTCCACCCAGGCATCACTTCCTTCCTAGTGCTGAGATTAATGGCATGTGATTCCCAAATACTGGATTAAAGGTATGTGCCTCCACTGCCTGGCTGTTTCTCTCCTAGACTGAGCCAATCTCATTCCAAGGTGGCTTTGAACTCTCAGAGATTCAGACGGATCTCTGCCTCCCCAGTGCTAGGATTAAAGGTGTGTACCACCACTGCATGGCTACTATGTTTAATATAGTGGCTTGTTCTGTTCTCTGATCTTCTGGCAAATTTTACTAGCATACACAATATATCACCACAACTGGTCCCATATCCTCCCCACTTCCCCATCCACTGAAATCCACACCCTTTCTCACTCTCATTAGAATACAGGCATCACATCTAAGGAAAAAATAAAGTAAGATAAAATAAAAACAAACCAGAATAGGACAAAACAAACTCTTTGTCCAGAATTCTTAATATATCCTATTACCATCTCATTTTAAATGGCCAAAGACAATTTCGAATTCTCCCTTTCCACGAGTAACCCCTGCTTCTAGATAGTGTTCCTGAACCATCTGGGATGGCTAGGCTTTATTCTTGTCATCTTAGAAGTTTACATCATGACAGTTTCAGATCACATATTCTCTGGCCACAGAACTGATATACAATAAAATGTATGTGCATAAAACTTCTAAGGTCTTCTTCCATATCTAAAAATACCTCAGTCCTCATCACAACTCACTGGTAGGGTGGCAGTCCTAGTTAGGAAAGGCAGGAAGACAACTTCAACACAGGAGTGCCAGGTCAGGCTGGGCAATACATAACAACAGACTCATTAAATTCCTACATATAGAATTTATGTTGTAAATAATTTCCCCAAGAAGTTTGGTGCTGCTCATCTACTATACCCAGTATTATGATGCAAAAAAATTTGAGTCTATTGAGTGCCAGTCCTTCTTCCTTTATCCTTCATGGCTTGAAATTTTATTAAGAATATATGCATTCAGTATTTTTCTCATTGCTGAATTAAAAAAAAAATGACAAAAGCAATATAACAAAGTGTATATTTTGGCTCACAGTTTCAGAGTACAGTCCATCATGGAAGGGGGAAGCATGGCAGGAGCCGGGTGCAGCTATCACACTGATCTGCAGTCAGGAAGATCAATGTTCATGCTCAGCTTGCTTCCTCCATTGAGTCTACCCAGGACCCCAGCCCATGGGTGTGGTGCCCCACATAGTCAGGGTAGGTCTTCCCTCCTCAGTTAAACCTTTTTGAGAACAATCATAGGCACATCTAGAGGTGTGTTTCCATGGTGATTCTGAACTGTATCCAACTGACAATGAAGATCAACCAGCACTATATGTCTAAGTATAAGGCCTACTTTTAATCATATTATTTAGACCTTGGTAAATCAAGTTCACTTTTTTTTTTTTTTTTTTGCAACAGGGTCTCATGTGTCCCAGCTAGCTTTGAACTCCTATCTGGCTGAGAACAGCCTTGACTTTTTGATCCTCCTGCCCCTACCTGCTAACAGTGAAGAATATATTCATGGGCTGGAGAGGTGGCTCAGTAATTAAGAGCAGTGGCTGTTCTTCCAGAGGACCGAGGTGCCATTCCCAGCACCTCTGATACCCAGAATCAACATGGCAACTTATAACCGTCTGTAACTCCAGTTCCAAAGGGATATGTCACCCTCTTCTGGCCTCCGTGGGCACTGCACCCATGTGATGCACTTACATACATGCAGGCAAAACAACCATACACATAAAAGAAAAAGGGCAGGGAAGTGGTGGCACACACCTTTAATCCCAGCACACATGGGAGGCAGAAACAGTTTGAGGTCAGCCTGATCTACAGAGTGAGATCCAGGACAGCCAAGGCTACATGGAGAAATCTAAGAAAGACAGACAGACAGAAGGACAGACAGACTGGGTGGGGGTGGAGTGGAGACACAGCTTATCAGTTAAAAGCACTGAATGCTCTTCCAGAGAACCCACATGGCAGCTCACAACTGTCTGTAATTCCAGTTCCAAGGGACCTGACACCCATGGCAAAAACACCAATGCACAAAATAAAAAAGAAAAGAAAAAGAAAAGAGAGCGAAATGCACTCATTACCACAGATTAAATTTTAGACCACTATAACAGGTGAAAAATATCCTTTATAGGGGCTGGAGAGATGGCTCAGCTATTAAGAACACATACTGCACCTATGTTAGACAGCTCACAACCACCTGTGACTCCAGCTCAAGGGGATGTCATGGCTCTGGCCTCTCTGCACACTGGCACATATATCCTTACACACACACACACACACACACACACACACACACACACACTGCACGCAAGCACATATAACAATATTTTTAAATGCCCTCTATACTTTCCCCCCAAACTCGGGATGCAATCACACTTGTGTATTTCATTGGACCAGCATGTTTTTGTCTCAGCTATGTCTTGTTGCTTGTTTTCCTGACACTTGATAGTTTTGCCCTCAGCTATCTTGATACCATGCTCCATTATGAATCTATTTGTACTTCCATCATGACTAAGGTCAAGGTTCATTAGTTTTAGCAATTGTACAGCTTGGAGGTGCTGTACTGTGTGTGTGTGTGTGTGTGTGTGTGTGTGTGTGTGTGTGTGTGTGTGTGTGTGTCCTATCATTCCTCACTGCTCAAAATCAAATTTCATACTCTACATGGGCACTGAACATGTCTTAACACTTAAGACTACATTTAACCCAGAAAGTCCCCAATATACACTTTTTGAACAAATAAGGAAAATAATTCTCCATAATATACACGTAAGTAAAGTACTTTAAGTTGGATACTCCATGATAGCTGCTGACATTAACTCAAGATCAAGAATATCACACCTTTGATCTCAACACTAAGTGGTTCAGGACAGCCAAAGCCAGAGCTGCATAATAAGACCCTGCTTCAAAACTAAAGAAAAAAAAAAAGGCTCAATTTAAAAGCATTATCCAGCATCCTAAAAGATGACTTAAGAATTTAAGATTAAAAAAGGAAGAAAAAAAAAAGAATTTAAGATACAGGGCTGGAGATATGGCTCAGCGGTTAGGAGAACTGTCTGCTCTTCCATAGGACTCAGGTTCAATTCCCAGCACCCACATGGCAGCTCACACCTGTAACTGCTGTTCCAGGGGATTCAACACCCTCACATAAAAAAATAATGTAACTTTACCTTATTTTACCCACAATTACTTTTAAGTTTACTTCCCAAAAAAGAAATTCCCAAGAGAAAAATGAAAACAGTCTGCAGAGACGGTGATATAGAATCTATTTGAAGGAGAAAGTCACTGCTAGAGCAAATGGAGTCAAATCAACCACTATTTACAGAGTTCCTAGTTCTGCTTTGATCTCATTAGGTACTTTTCTAGGTTATTCACAGGCTTGTCTGGGTTTTCGAATTACTACATGGTAATATCTTCAACCAAAGTTAAATGTTTTACTTAAAAAATACAATAGCATCCCATATACCTCTTGCTATTGTTCACAAACAATCGAATCATTCAATAAACCAGTCAGTTCTTCTAATTTCTTCCAAAGAAAAATTCTAACCACCAAGGATATCAGATTGTAAATCACAGAGTTCTGCCTGGCACTATGGAAATATGTTAAGACAGCCTGGTTTAGTAATTACCTAGGTTGTGACGATGAATAAAAATATCTGAGCAGGAAAATTAAATTGATCAGAAGAAATGCCTCCTAATAAGAAAATCTCTTCCTCTGTATCAATTCACCTCCCACTTCTTCCCTTTAAGCTTCCAAGGTTTGCTTTCCAGACTATTTCCCTCATCCTCACACTGACTGTATCAGGCCCGTCCACTCGAGTCCTGTATACCTCAATTCAACACAATTCTAGCACTGCCGGGTTCCATATTGCTACTTCCCTTAGCGCCCCCTAAAATGCCAGGCAGCCCCTCTACTGGACTCCCCACCTTTTGACGGTTCCACCCCTCAGTTCCCCACCCCCTCATCGCCAGGTTCATCCTGCCCCTCCAACCGTCTCCCGCCCCCGGGTTCCTTCCTGCCCTCCCAACACAGCTTCCCTGTCTCAACGTCTCTCGTTCCACCAGCGACTCCCCGAACGCCCTGCCCGTTCCTCCGGTGCCTATTTTCACCAACATTCCACTGAGCACTCCATCCATCCATCCTTTCAACACATGCACCTATGCAAAAACACCCCGCAGGAGCCCCTTGCCCAGAGCCGGATCCTCCATCTTTCCCCTGTCCTTGCTTCCTTTCTTCCGTCTCTCCCCCATCTCTACCTCCTCTGGAGGAGTCGGTTCCCAGGCCAAGGTCTCTCACCTCATTCGGTCACTTAAGTGGTGCCAACCGCTTCATACAGGAAAATAGAAGCAATCAGGTCCCCGAGGGCGCTTCCCCGCGAGTCCGGGCACTCCCTGGGCACCCGCCCCGGCGGGAACCCTGCGCACACGCACGCACACACACCGAACGCCTTGGGGACGAGGGCTGGGGAGGAGAGCGTGCGTTCTCACACCGGCCTCAAACACAGACCACTTCGTTACAGCCCTTCGCCATTTTGGTTTCCCGCGGACTACCGGTGCATTCTGGGAGCGCGGAGCCACTCCAGGGCCGAATGGCAGCTCTCCAGGGCCGCAGAGGGGCGGGGACTGCGCGGCGAGCGCGGAAGAACACCGCGCCCTACGTCCCGGACCAGCGCCGAACAAAGAGGGACTCTTTAATGTCGCGGTGGGACTAAGTTCTGCTGCTGCCGGTGCAGACACAATAGTGAGCGCAGCGCTGGCTTCTGGACGCTGCTGCTCGCTGTGCCGTCTTCTTTAAAGGAGAGGTCCTGTCCAACCTATCCTGTGCATATTGTTTTATGTCCTCAGAAATGGGATATTGCTCAGTACATCTCGCTAGGCTGATTTCCTTTCTGTGGAGATATTAACTGAAAAAGTACTTTTCTCTTACCTTCACCCGGGAGGCCTGCTATTAGAATTCCCGTAAGTGGGGAGGAAACCTTGGATGTCAAATTTCGTTCAATGATTACTCTCCAAATCCAAATTTATTTGGAATCTATATAGGAGATTCTCACTCTTTTTTTCCTCTGACAACGAAAGGGACTTCTTTTTTTCTGTTTTCCTGCTTCATGACCCTTCCTAATTGTAACAAGACCTGAGCATACTCTCCTGCAAAGCAGTTGATTGTAGGAACACAGAACTTTCATAATATTGTTAGCTGTGGACCAGAGTTCCAACTGATAAACGGAGGACACGCTTATCTCTTTGACTTATATGTAGATGTAACCCGACACCTGTAGAAACACCTGTAATACCTTTATATTTTCAGAGTCATATTTTTAATCACAGATTACATCACAGAGACAGTCAATACTGTATTTTCTCTCTCTGAAAAAATACCTGTAGCACGAATCTTAAAAGGTCTTATTAATAAAAACAAACCTGGAGCCAGGTATTGGGGTGAATGCTGGAAAATCAGAGAAGCAGAACAAGCCACAGCTACCTCACCTTGACAATTCCTCAGCTGATCCTGTTTCCTCAGACAGGAAGCCTCTGAGTCCTTATCCAAATGGGTCTCAGCTGAACTGCTGCTAAAAGCCTAAAAGCTTAACCAGCTCTAGTTCCTGGTTTTCACACCCTATATACCTTTCTGCTTCTTGCCATCTCTTTCTAGGATTAAAGGCGTGTGCCACCATGCCTGGCTGTTTCCAGTGTGGCTTTGAACTCAGAGATCCAGATGGATCTCGGCCTTCAGAAGAGATTAAAGGTGTGTGTGCCACCATTTTCTGGCCTCTGTATCTAGTGGCTGTTCTGTTCTCTGACCCCAAATAAGTTTATTAGGGTGCACGATATTTTGGGGAACTCGATATCACTGCAAGTACCTCTTGTGACCTACATTCCTTTCACTCATACATATTTCAAGAGTTCCCTTGAAGGGCAATGGTGGCACATGCCTTTAATCCCAGCACATGGGAGGCACTCAGGATCTGAGTTCGAGACTAACCTGGTCTACAGACTTAGTTCCAAGACAGTCAGAGCTACACAGAGAAACTCTGTCTTGAAAAACAAAAAGAAAAAAAAAAGTCCCCTTTACTTATATTCTGAAAAATCTGGCAAATAAGCATATTCATATTACACTATAAATATTTTTTTCTTTTTTTTTTTTCAATACAGAATCTCTATTATGTAGCTCTGGCTGTCTCTCACTTTGTAGACCAGGATGACCTCAAACTCACGGAGATCCTCCTGCCTCTGCCTCCTCAGTGCTGGGATTAAAGGCGTGCGCCACTATGCCTCGCTTTGTATTATACAATACTTTATTCAGTACATTTCAGTCTTTCTCTATCTCTCTGTGTGTGTCTCTCTCTTTGTCTCTCTGTGTCTCTGTCACTCTCTCTCTCTTTCTCTCAACACAGGGCCTTATGTAGGCCAAGTTGGTCTCCTATTAGCTATGTAACTAATGCTGGCTCTGAGCTCCTGATCCTCCTGCTTCTGCCTCTTGATTACTGTTATTGTAAGTGTGAACCATCACACCTACTTTAATATTTTTAAATGTGTTGACCATTCCTTTCCACTCTTCTGTTTTTTCTGAGGCAAGATTTCTCTGTGTAGCTTTGGAGCCTGTCCTGGAACTCGCTCTATAGACCAAGATGGCCTTAAACTCGAAGAGATCCTTCTGCTTCTGCCTCTGGAGTGCTGGGATTAAAGACGTATGCCACCACCACTTGACCTGGTTTTTCTTCTTATTGCAGCCTCACTGTATGTAACTTTCCAGTCTCACTACTACAATTCCATTACTTCATAGTTTGGTTGTTGTTTATGTTTGGAGACAGGGTTCTCATGTATCCCAGGTTGATCGTGAATTCCTCAATCCTTCTGCCTTCACCTCTCAAGTGCTGGTATTTCAGACATGTACTACCACATTTGGCTCATTATAACATTGTACCTTATAAATTTATCTTCAATGTATTTCCTGTATTGATTGAAGGTTTTAAATGAAACAAAGCAGATGCAGTTCAAAATTGGTTAAAGATTATTATACATAAAGAAATGTATTTGCTTTGCAACCACATCTAATTTGTAGAACATCAGTCTTGGATAGAATTTAGTCTAATTGTTCTCAAGATTCCTGTTAAGTAGTCATTAAATCTCGTCTTCATCGTTTCCTGTAATTCAGTGCCTCTGAGCAGCCATTTCAATCTCAAAAACTTTAACACTGTGGTCCCTCTTATCCTCAGAGGGTAGACCCCATTGCATGCCTGAACTTCATATAGACTTCATATAGCAATGAACTCTCATGTGCTTTTTCTTACACAAACACAATAATGAAAAAGTGTAATTTATATATTAAATTCAGGAAAAGATTGGCAATAATTATAAAACTATAATATGTTGTAATAAAAAAAATCAGCTAGATGTGGTGGCTCTTACCCATAATCCCTGCACTTGGCTGAAATTAGAGGAACAGGGAGTTCTTTGTCAGGCTGGGATACATTATGAACTTAAGGTTAGCCTGGGCGAGAGTGAAACCCTGGGTCAAAAAATAAATAAAAGTAGACTGAAGAACATCTGGGAACAGCTACCAGATTCTTGGCTTTTCCATCCAGGGACAGGCATTGTTGAAGTGGTCAGACCACAAGCCGTAAGCCATTCTAATAAATCATACACATGCCAGTTCTCTTCCTCCAGAGAATGCTAACCAATACAGCATCCTGAGTTGATCAGCTTTGCTATTTGAATTTGCTTTTAGAAAATATTTTTCAGAGGCTGGAGAGATGGCTCAGAGGTTAAGAGCACCGATTGCTCTTCCAGAGGTCCTGAGTTCAATTCCCAACACCCACATGGTGGCTAACAACCATCTGTAATGAGATCTGGCACCCTCTTCTGTGTACATAATAAATAAATAAATAAATAAATAAAAAAGAAAGAAAATATGTTTCAAGTCTGGACAGATGGCTCAGTGGTTAAAAGCACTCAATTGCTCCTCTTCCAGAGGACCTGAGTTCAGTGCCCAGCACCCACTTCAAGGGCATTCACAACTGCCTGTAATTCAACCTCCATGAATTCCAACGTCCTCTCTGGCCACCATATGTAACATACATACATAAATAAACACAAATAAAAGTATAAAAACAAAAGAATAGATAGATAGATAGATAGATAGATAGATAGATAGATAGATAGATAGATAGATAGATAATAAAAAAGTGAAGGTAGTCTCTCCATCTTTCCTCTCCTCCTAAAATTTCTTAGAGACTTGAGCAATCTCAGCCTTTTTGTCTTTCCTTATTAAACTTGCACTTTGGAGCCATTACTAAGTAAAATAAAAGTTACTTGAACACTAACAGCACAGGTCAGGACAGCTGGATGACTGAGACTCTAGAGCATAACAGTAGTGTAAACAGCATGGATGTGCATGCAGAGCAGAGGGGGACACTGTGAGACTTGGTGAAGCTACTCAAAATAGTGTACAATTTAAAACTTACCGTGGATGCTGGAGAGATGGCTCAGCAGCTAAGGACGCATACTACTATTGCAGAGGATCCTGTTGGTTCACAACAACCTGCAACTCCAACTCCAAGGGAATCTGACACCTCTGGCCACCTCCAGAACCACACTCTCCACTGCACATGCCCCAACACAGATACGTGTCCCCATAAATATCTTAAAAATAAGCCAGGTGGTGGTGGTGCACACCTTTAATCCCAGAACTCAGGAGGCAGAGGCAGGCAGATCTATGAGTTTGAGGCCAGCCTGGTCTATAGAGCAAGTTCTAGGACAGACAAGGCTATACAAAGAAACCCTGTATTGAAAAAAAAATTAAAAAATAAGACAAAAGTTATTTTTATTTCTGGAATTTTTTCATTTAATATTTTCAGGTCACAGTTGACTTTAGACAATTGAAATCTAGGTGGCTGGGATGAAGTTCAACTGGATGCTTGTGTAGCATGTCTAGGTTCCAACCTCAGTACCATATATACGGCGCATGGTAGTACTCACCTATAGTCTCAGCACTGAGAAAGTGGAGGCAAGCGATCAGAAGTTTGCAATTATCTTCTGTGACAGAGTGAATTCAAAGCCACAGTGGGCTTCATGAGACCCTGTCTCAGTATTAATAATAATAACAATAAATAAAAGCCCAGCAAGGTGAGTCAGTGGCCAAAAATGCTTGTTGCACCTAATGACCTGAGTTTGATCCCTGGATACCATGGTGAAAGGAGAGAACTCACTCCCAAAATTGTATTCTGACGTCTACAAGAGCATGAATACACCCACTCTCCGTCTCTGTCTCCCTGTCTCTGCCTCTCTTTATATAGATATGTTTCTGTCTCTGTCCGTCTGTCTCTCTCTTTCCCTCTCTCCCCCGCCACACAGAGTAATAATTTTGTTTTGTTTTGTTTTGTTTTTGTTTTTCGATACAGGATTTCTCTGTGTAACAGGGGCTGTCCTGGAACTCCCTTTGTAGACCAGGCTGGCCTCGAACACACAAAGATCTGCCTGCCTCTGCCTCCCAAGTGCTGGGATTAAAGGCGTGTGCCACCATGCCTGGACCATACAGTAATAATTTAAAAAAAAAAAAACTCTGAAAGACAAAATGCAGATCAGGGTGGGGTGCCATAATTTAAAATTTATTATATAGAAACACAATCTGCTTTTCACTTACTGATCTAACTTTTGGTACTTTGGTCATGAAAAGTATTCTAATACCTTGTAAATTAAAGAGCTCTATGACACCTCTACTTTTTAAAAATATATATATTTATTTTTATGTGCATTGGTGTTTTACCTGCATGTGTGTTTGTGTGATGGTGCCAGATCGCCTGGAACTACAGACAGTTGTGAAACTGCCATGTAGGTGCTGGGAATTGAACCCAGATCCTCTGGAAGAGCAGCTAGTGCTCTTAACCACTGAGCCATCTCTCCAGCCCCCAACATTTCCATTTCTTAGAAAGGGGTTTTTCCTATGTATACATCTGAGTATAAAGTTAGAACCAACATTTAACTTAAGAAAACTGGTACTCAAAGAACTAAAGGAGTCATAATAAAATGTAATGAAACCTATAAACATGAGCTTCAAAATCTGTACTAAGTACACAAGATGTAGTAGAGTCAGACTTAGAAATAGGTTTCAAATCCCTCAAAGGATAAAACAAAGTAACTCTAGTCAGAATAAACTGTACTCTTTATGTTGTTACTTGTTTCTCAAGCATTGTTTCTTCTTTCTTCTAGACACACAGTGAAACTCTGCTCTTGCATCCCTGTAGTTGGCCCTGTAACTTTGACCTAGAAAATGGAAGGAGAGGTAATATCTATAACGACCTAGAATCTTAAACACATCTTCCGATCTCTGCTGTGGAAATCATGGAAATTTGTGTTGCCATAGAATGTTGTCACTTCCAGAATAGCCAAGGCTACAAAGAGAAACCCTGTCTGGAAAAAAAAAAAAAAAAAAAAAAAGAATGTTGTCACTTTAGGTCCCTAAAAGATGACAGTAAGCAGACTAAAATTGTGCAATGGTTACTACTGTTTCAAGCCTGGGACAACCTGTTGAGGTTTAATACATCAAAGCTGGACCTGGCCTGCAGGCTCTCCCAGCATTCCCCAGTCCCTACCTGATACGGGGCGTGGCTGGCATACTGGCTCCCTACAATGAACTCTCCAGCCCAGGGCCTGTGGGCTGTGATAAGACACCATGACCAAGGTAACTTACAGGAGAAAACATTTAATGGGTGCTTCTTATAGCTTCCGAGGGTGAATCCATAACCATCCTGGTAGGTAGTAGCGTGGCAACAGGCAGGCAGTCATGGTGCTGGAATAGAAGCTGAGAATGTACGTCCCAGTCAACAGGCAGGAGGCAGAAAGAAAGCTAACTGTGAATGGCAAGGGCTTTTGAAACCTTAAAGCCCACCTCCAGTGATACACCTCCCCCCCAAAAAAAGCCATTGTAGCATGAATCTTAAAAGTTCTTATTAATAAAATCAAACCTGAGCCAGGTATTGGGATGAACTGAAATATCAGAGAGACAGAACAAGCCACAGCTAACCTCACCTGGCCAACTTCTCAGCTGGTCTTGTTTCCTCAGACTGGAAGCTTCTGAGTCCTCATCCCAATGGATCTCAGCTGAACTGTGCTGCTCAAAAGCCTGAAGCTTAACCAGATAAAAGCTTAACCAGCCAAATGCTTCTAGTTTCTGGTCCTCCACTCCCTGGGATTAAAGGCTTGCTTTCTGGGGATTAAAGGCCTGTGTCACCATGCCTGGCTGTTTCCAATGTGGCCTTGAACTCACAGAGATCCAGAGGGATTTCTACCTCTGGAGTGCTAGGATTAAAGGTGTGAGTGCCATCATTTTCTAGCCTCTGTATCTAGTGGCTGTTCTGTCTCCGACCCCAGATAAGTTTACTAGGGTGCACAATATTTTGGGGAACACAATACCACCACAAGCCATACCTCCTAATCCTTCCCAAACAGTTCCATCAAATGAGAACCAAGCATTCAAATATATGAACTTATAGGGCCATTACTCATTTAGAGTACCATAAGTAGTGATCAAATGCAGGGGAACAAATTTGTAAGAGTTTCATTGTAGTTTTGTTTTGGAGATTTAGGGTTTATTTGTTTATTTGTTTAAGATAAGGGTCTCAGTATGAGGTCCTAGCTAGCCTGGATCTTGTTATATAAGCCAGGCAAAGCTCAAACTTGCAATACCACCATGCCCATCTGTGGGTTTTTTTTTGGGGGGGGAGGGTAGTGGGTTTTAGGGTTTTTGTTTGTGTGATTTTGGTTGATTGGTGTCTTAGTTAGGTTTACTATTGCTGTGATAAAACACCAATACTTAAAGAAATTGGCGGCCAGGCAGTGGTGGCGCACGCCTTTAATCCCAGCAGAGGCAGGCGGATATCTGTGAGTTCAAGGCCAGCCTGGGCTACCAAATGAGTTCCAGGAAAGGCGCAAAGCTATACAGAGAAACCCTGTCTCGAAAAACCAAAATAAATAAATAAATTAAATTAAATAAATTGGGGAGGAAAAGGGTTATTTGGCTTACAATTCCATATTGGTATTCATCATTGGAGGAAGTCGGGACAAGAACTAAAGCAGAGCAGGAAACAGGAAACAGGAAGCAGGAGCTGATGCAGAGGCCATGGAGGGTGCTGTTTACTGGCTTGTTCCCCATGACTTACTCAGCCTGCTTCCTTTTTTTATTGTTGTTTGTTTTTGTTTTTGTTTTTTTTGAGACAGGATTTCTTTGTGTTGGCCTGGTTGTCCTGGAATTCACTCTGTAAACCATGCTGGTCTTGAACTCACAGAGATCCACCTGCTTCTGCCTCCCTGCATGCTGAGATTAAAGACATGCATCACTATTGCCCAGCTCAGCCTGGAACCCAGGAACACCAGCCCAGGGATGGCACCATACACAATGGGTTGGACCTTCCTCTATCAGTTACTAATTAAGAAAATGCCTTTATAGGCTTTCCTACGACCTGATACTATGGAGGCATTTTCTTGATTACGGTTCCCTCTTCTCAGATGACTTTAGCTTATGTCAAGTTGACATAAAACTATCCACCACAACTGCTTAAGAACTTTCATTCCTGCTTTTTTGAGAGATGGTTATGTGGATAAGAGTGGCCTCAAATTTATTGCTATCCTCCTGCCTCAGCTTTGCTAACTCTGGCATCACATCCTGCTCCAAATCGCAGTTTTACAACTGAGAAAATCTGTGATCTGTAGGCACAGAACTCTGGAATGAAGTAACAGTGAGCGAAGGGTCTTTTCACTGACGTCTCCCGTCTGCTGCCAGAACACATCAGTGTGTCTTCATTCTCCATTGCCAACTCTGCACGTGTGTCTGTTCCATCTACTGACTGTCCATCAGATTGAAATCTATAACCGCCTGCTTGGCAAGCCTTGTCATTCACAATAAGCTTTCATTAGGTTATTGAATGGGGTGTGCTCCTTAATCTTAAACAGCACCTGTAGGAAGGAGTCCAGCTCCAACCTGTCAAAGGGTTCTTGGCGGGAGCAGAGAGGAATGAGGAGGTATTAGAAAGAAATATAGGCAGAGATGTCAAGAAAAACAGAGACACAGGATAGCTTTGGGAGGGACCTGGGTCAATACCCAGCCACCTCGAGATTTATTCTAATGGGCTTTTTATACACTGCCAAGGGGAGAGTCAAAAGACCCCCCCCCTTTCAAAATCAAAGCACAATGTACAGCCAAGTGTAGACCCTTCCAAACAAACACCTGGTAACCACGCCTGTAGCTAAATCATCCCTTTATGCAGCCCTGCTGGGTAAAGCAAGCTCAGATTCTCTGACCTTGAGTAAGGTCTTATTAGGGAGCCTCTGTGGGCCCCCATAAGCACCAAGGAACCATCTTGTCCCACTACTTTCAGTTTCTTTTTTTAAATATTTTTTAGAAATTCATTTTCAGGGTTGGGGATTTAGTTCAGCCGTAGAGCGCTTGCCTAGCAAGCACAAGGCCCTGGGTTCGGTCCTACGCTCCAAGAAAAAAAATTTTATTTTCATGTATATGGCTGTTTTGTATGTATGTGTGTATACCACATGAATTCAGTGCCCACAAAAGCCCAAAGAGAGCATCAGCAACCCTGGAATTGGAATTACAGATTGTTATTAGCCTTCATGTGGGTTCTAGAAATGAACCTGGGTCCTTTTGAATAGTGCCGCTCTTAACCTCCTCATTATCTCTTCAGCTCCTCAATTTCTTATTATAATTGTTTATTTGGGCCGGGCGTTGGTGGCGCACGCCTTTAATCCCAGCACTCGGGAGGCAGAGCCAGGCGGATCTCTGTGAGTTCGAGGCCAGCCTGGGCTACCAAGTGAGCTCCAGGAAAGGCGCAAAGCTACACAGAGAAACCCTGTCTCGAAAAACCAAAAAAAAAAAAAAAAAAAAAAAATTGTTTATTTGTTTTGTGTGCATGTTTACAGGCCATGGCACACACTCAAATGGAGATCAGAAGACAATTTCCAGGAGTCTCTTCTCTCCTTTCCACCATGTGGATCCCAAGAATTGAACTCAGGTATTCAGGCTTGTCACCATTACCTGCTGAGTCATCCTGTCCCAGTTTCTATCTCAGTCTCCTTCCATGGGCAAATCATGGCTCATAAATGATCATTGTCATTTCCTCTGTTGCTCCACAAAAGAAGCACCAGCTCCACACCACCAGGAATTGTACTGAGCCATCTCTCCAACCCCATACTGATGAGCATTTTGATCGCAGGAATCACAACAGCAGTCTGAACAAGTAGAAGCCAGCAACCTTGCCTTGTGGATGCCTAGAAACAGAGACCCGAAATATGTCAAATCTCTCTCTCTATCTCTCTGATACGTGTGTTCATTATCATAAATAGACCAATTAACAATAATGTGCATGTAAAAATATGTAATCCCCTTCTACATTTCCAACAGAACAGAAACCAAAATATGCCAGGCATGGTGACACACACCTATAATCACAACACTTAGGAGGTAGAGGCAGGAGGATTGTGAATATGAAGTCATTCTCTGCTATATAACATGTTCAAAGTTAACCTAAGCTATTCAAGACCTATCAAGGAAAACCAAGACAAATAAATAAGGCTGGGGGTGTAGCTTGGTTGGGAAAGTACTTTAATAGGTTTTCTGCCACAATAATGTTTCTTCATTGAAGTAGTAAGCCAGATCAAGCTTAACTGAAAAAGCATAACAACAGGTTTATTGAGGGCAAAGCAACTCCCAGGCGGGTTCACTGGTCTCAGAGATCAAGGCCAGAGAAGTTCTGCCTGATCTAAGGCAGGAAGATTTTATAGATTGTAGGTGAGGGGTGATGACATGTCCACCACAAGCTGGGGTTGTGCCCAATATGGTCGAAAGCTGAATGCTTAGGCGGGGACTTGGGTGGCTGGCGGCATCAGGGGAGGAAGCTGCAGTAGCCGCCAAGAACACAGAACTTTTGGTGCCTTTCTTTTGTTTGGAGACTCTCTGAGCAGGCAGAGTAAGAGAGAGAGGAGCAATGGGGCTTCCCAGTCCATGCAAGGGCGAGCAGGAAGCTCCAGCCGAGCAAACCTACTTAGCACACACATTTTCTTTTGCCTACACACCTAAGTACTGTCTAAAGCATGTCTGTCTGTGTAGCCCTAGTCCTTGGCTCTACTCTGCCTGGCTGTGTTCACAGTCTGTTATAAACTTCTCTGGCTCTCCTGACACACTAAGCTTTAGTCCTGGAAACAATTAAAGCCTGTCATTGCCATAGCCAATTCTGCTCCTGAAACCATCCTAGCCACCTTGATTTCATGGCTTGGCAAGATATTGGCTTTGCTGGAGGTGGTGGCCCACGCCTTTAATCCCAGCAGTTGGGAGGCAGAGGCAGGTGGATCTCCGGGTTTGAGGCCAGCCTGGTCTACAGAGTGAATTCCAGGACATCCAGGAGCACACAAGAGAAACCCTGTCTTGAATAACAACAACAACAAATATTGGGTGGAACTTCTGCCTCCAAAGTTTCTTCCCTTTATGGGTCCAAAAGTTCATTGTTATAATTGCCCAAATCATTGTAGTTCTATTAGATTTTTTTTAGGCAACAAAGGCAAAAAAAGAGTTGAACCTGATCTCTACAGACCAAACTCTATTCCAAAACAGCACAGGACGGACACTCCCATTGAAAAACAGGCACCTGTGTGGGGAAAGGCTGGCAGTGACTCCATAGAGCTCGAGTGAGGGTATTGGTTCTGAAGTCTCTTTTACTCTGGGCCTCCCAGGATGCAGACACAGGGTGCCATAGCTGTTCCTGGTTCTAGGGTGACTGCCCATTATGCACCTCGGCATTATTCCTGCTTGATTGAGCAAGGCCATTTGTATGAATCCTGTTTTGTGACCAAGGAATTCTACCAGTTTCTATCATTCCAAAACTGACCATTCCAAAAAAAAAATCATCACGGCTGCCCCTTCAGCCATCACCGTAACTACCATGGTGAGCACTGTGTTTGGAGCTCCAAAAAGGGGAAGGTTGGGGGCCATAGATGTAGCTCAGAGATACAGCATTTACCTGCTATATACCAAGCTCTAGATTCAATTCTTAGCACTGAGGGGGAAAAATAGTTATTTAAAACCCATGCACAAAAAAAGAGAAAGAGATAAACCAGAAAAATAAATAAAAATAAAACCCATACAGTGCATTTATAAAGTTCTGGTTTGGTGAGACCACGAAAGGACTTAAATGTTGTCAGCGGACCATTTGGAAGCTCCCAAATTGACAAAGCACGGGCTTTTCTGGGGGCTCTTCGGGCGCTCTCCACGGTACTGATGTCCACGGTACTGATGACCCTTGTGAGGGAACTACATCATTTGTCTCCGATCTGTTAGTTTACCCTGAATCTTGCCCTCTCAACCAGTCCTTTCCTTTCCTCTCCTTTCCTCTTTTTCCTTTCCTTTTTTCTTGACAAATACTCTGACTCAGCACAGAAAGTACCCAAATTACAGGCCTTCCCACCCAGATTCAAGTATTTTTTGAGGCAATTTCATTTTTTATTGTCTTGAAGAAAACAAAAGAGGCAAGCAAACAGCTGGGCATGGTGGCGCACACCTTTAATTACAGCATTTGGGAGGCAGACAAGAGCTCTGAGTTCAAGGCCACCCAGTCTACAGAGCAAGTTCCAGGACAGCCAGGAGAGAAACCCTGTCTCAAAAAAACAAAACATATCAAAACAAAACTAAAACCAAAGAAAAAGCCCTTACCAAAACAAACAAAACCGTAACTGTCATTTTTCCTTAATCACCTCAGTCAGGTTCAGCTAGGCCTTTTGTTGCTGTTGTTCCATTGTTTATGTCTGATGGAAAGCAGGAAGAGTAACAGCCAGGGTTGAAGTGAACCTGCAATCCCAGCACTTGGGAGACAGAGGCAGTAGGAACACCAGAAATTTGAGGCCAGTCTGATATACATGAGACCATGCCTCAGAAGCAAAATGAAACAAAAATGGATTTTATTGACAAGTTTGGGGAAGACCCGGTCTACATAATTCTCCTAAACTGAATTCTATAATCTTTGTTTATAAAGGTTTTCAAATTATCTTTATCTCTCCTTTTTTAAAATCTATTTTTATTTTGTTTTCTTCTTTTTCTTCTTCCTCCTCTTCTTCTTCTTCTCCTTCTTCTTCTTCTTCTTCTTCTTATTATTATTATTATTATTATTATTATTATTATTATTATTTTGGTTTTTTTTCCCCAGACAGGGTTTCACTGTGTAGCCCTGGCTATCCTGGAACTCAGTCTGTAGACCAGGCTTTCCTCACAGAGATCTAGCTGCCTCTGCCTCCCAAATGCTAGGATTAAAGGCATGGCCATTACTTCCTGACCATCTTTTCCTTTCTTTATTTCTACCTTATGGTATGGATCCATCCTAGGGATTTTGCATACTAGAAAAGCCAACTGAGCTATCCCCAGCCTTCACTGAGGACTTCTTGTCGTGAGTAATGAACATTTCTTCATAGAGCACATCCTTACTTGCCTAAATTCTCACTTTGGTTTTATAGGGAACTCTGAGTGATGATTATTAAATTTTACAATAATGTTAAAATCATCGGTCTAATTTTGTTTCAGAGTACAAACTGCTGTGATGTTTACTTCTATCAGAACCAACTATACTTCAAAGGATATAGTCAAAAACAATACATTGGAGCCAACTGTTCCTTGAATAAATCTATTCATGTACAGGAATGAACTTAAACTCTAGATGTGTAAATACCAGAACAGAATAGTTTCCCACAGTATTAACCTGCCTTCAGCAAGCATGGAAATAAAGGGAGTGAAATACAATCGGTTCTATACATTTTCCCACCCCAATGGCTGTAACAGGAGAAATGTTTTTTAAGGGTAGAATCCTCCACTGCTTTTAGGTCACAAAGTCCATCAGCTCACAGCCAGAGGCTTCTAGCTATTCAGAATATTTAGTACTTTTGCAGAGAGTGACTTAAAACAGAGTTAGAAGCTAAAGAATTTCCTTCTCTAAGCAAAGCTGTAAAGCAGATTGACTGCAAGGGTGGGTGTTGTTTAGATTTAGGAATGAGGGGGTGTATCAGAACTCAGGGTTACACATCCAGTGTTTTGGCCCTAAGTACACACAACTTCTTCACTGTCCTTGGCAAGATGTCTTTGGGAAAGCATACATTGTCTCCATTGGCAGGCAGGTTGGGCTTTCTTGGTGGTATCTGAAGTTTTCTGGTTTTCTCAGCAGAAAATGCAGATGAACTGGGCAGAGGTGGCAATTCCTTTAATCCCAGTATTCAGGAGACAGAGGCAGGCAGATATCTGAGTTCAAGGCCAGCCTGATCTACAGAGTGAATTTCAGGACAGCCAGGGCTACAAAACACAGTGAAACCCTGTCTTGAATACAAACAAACAAAACAAAACAAAACAAAAACAAAAACAAAACAAAAAAGATTTTAAGAAATGGATGTGCTAATAAGGGCCTATAATTCTAGCACTCGGGAGGTTGAGGCACTTTGGGTTTGAAGCCAGTCTGAGCCACATAGCAAGGCTCAGTCAACCAACATCTCCTCTTTTGTTTTATTAAAGAAGCATGTCCATGAAGGTAGAGTTGGTCAAGGCATGGTGTACTGTAGGACAGTCCTAGTCAGCATCACCTCATTTCAGGCGTCCTTGGGAAAAGTTGGCAAAGGTACGACAGGACTTGGGAGGGGCAGACAGGCAGAATGTCAACAGCCCCTGTAAAAGACCACATCTTTAGATTTCATCCTGAAAACCAACTGGAAGTGTTGATCCAGTCAGTCTAGATAAAGACGCATCTTATGCTTGTTCTCTGTGTCTTTCAATTTGGAGAGAAAGCTGTTTAACTAAGAAATACGTTGTTCTAAAGGGGAACTGAACACCACTTCAAGATGTTTAGGAATGTTTTTCTGAGTATAGTTGACAGAGAAGGTGTGAAAACTTGTGTTACCCTGAAATTGCTGGCAGAGCCAAAGGGCTTCTTGATGTTCTCCAGGCCAGAAGGCCACAGCTCCAAGGGCATCTTATCTCTTAGGAGTTTGTTGGACAATATGGGTTTGTTCTTATAATTCAGTAGCGATATATTTTTTCTTTCCGTACTTACATATCCATCCCTTTTAACCTTCCTTACAACTTGTGTAAACTTTTTACCTTTCTTTTCCATCTGTACATATCCATCCATTTCAAGCTTTATATATGTCTTTTTTCATTAAAACTCTGTCCATTTTTTTATCCATTTAACTTTATTTTTTTCTTAATAGCCTGACATAGTTGCTTGATTATTGAGAGTAGTCACCGAAAAGTACGTCTTTCTTGATCATCATTAGAGAATAAAGGAATAGCAAAAAGCAACTTCAGCTCAATAGTAACAGCATGGTAGTTTTGAGTTTGTTTTTCTGTTGAAACCTGACTGTGAGTTTGCCTGTCACAGTAGGAAGCCGTTAGTTCTTGGAAAAGGAAAAGCCTGACTTTTACATTTGAAACGTTTAGAGGCCTAGTCAGTATTTGTGTTTCCATAAGTCATGGAGAAAGAAATAAGGTGGCAGCCATCTCCTTACTGCCTGTCTTTTATAGCTTGTAGAAGATTAACGAAGTCCATAAAAGCTCTTCATAGGTTTTGTCTGTTCATGGAACAGACACCTGGAGAATGTCAAGATCAGGGACTCTATTTACTTACTTACTTAAGTCTTGTGGCAGAATTTGTGAGCCTGTTGGGAGGTTTCTTTGATGTGCTTATTAACCAAATCAGGGCTGGTCTGTAATTGA